TAGTTGAATGATGATGAATAAGTTGTGTGAATAATAATGTATGATTATGAATCTATATGTTGTGAGTTGATACATGATTAATAATGTTTATATTGTTCAGTTGTGAGATGATAGATGATTGAGTTGTAAAGTTGTTTGCTTTTATAAGTTTCTTAAGTTGTTAAGATGTTAAGCATGTGGTGAAAATATGTGTCTTAACTAAGATGCATAAAAACTATAAGAGACTAAAAGATGTTTTAGAAATTAAAATATCTCATTGTGTAGATATACGTTGCGGTACTCCAGAAGCCCGAGTTGAAACCCTTTAGTAAGTACGTTAGCTTCTAAATGGGTAATTATTTTAAATTGTCTCCTCTAAGTTTTATGTGGTATCCATATGTGGATGAGGTCGAGGCATACATGTTTAAAGTAACCAATAGAGTAAAGTACAAAGTCAAAAAGTTAGTCCTTAATCGAGTATTAGAAGCGCATAGTATATGAAGGTTAATCAATGAACAAATCTCATATGTGGATTAATGTTGCAAGATAATGTTGTGGTAGGTTCATAGCCAAGTTGTTCTACCTTGACAATAGTATTTAACTTCTTAGTTTAAGTGGTAAAACCTAAGAAATCCAATTAAGTTGTTAAATAAGTTCTCTGAAAGGTTTAATAATTATCCTGATTGAGATAGGTCACATGTTGTACTTTGGTAGGATCTAGTCACTGAAATTGCTCACTTCTGTTATAAAAGACTTCTTTAATTGATATATGTGACGATGCATTAGTTGAATATTGATGTGGATGATTGAGAATGAAATATGTTGAAGTTGTTATATGTTGTATTAAGTTACTAGTTGGTTGTGTAGCATTCAATGATAAGTTAGAATTGTTTGTTAAGTTGAATAATGTTATTTAGTTAGTTTAAGTTGATATAGATTTTTTTTTCATGAGCTTACCCTTCTTTTTGTTGTGATTGAAATTGTAATGATCATACTTGGCACGAAACAGAACATGATTAGCTAGATGACTTAGTTGGATAGGTGGTAATTCATGCTACTGGTGGCTCATTTTGTTGAGGCTACTATGGTGGTACGTAGGTCTTGCATAGTTGCTTGATCAATGAGTATGGTTATTTATATACTCTGGTATATTGTGTATGTAGATTGTATATGTGTACATTTTTTTTTATTCCCTACCTTATTATACATGTATCAATGTACATGTTAAATATAGGACAATTGAATGTTGATTCTTTCTTTTCATTGCATTAAGATTAAATTATAGTAAGTGTAGGACCTATCAGGTCATTATACACCGTATGTGTTTGGATAAATATTTGTAGAATTAATTTTGAAAAAAATTGATTGTAAATTATTTTATTATAATTAATTTTGAATTTATGTAATTTATATTTGATTATAATTTTTAAAAGTATTTTACATCTTTATTTATCTGAATACAAATTAAAAAAAATATGTAGAAATATTTTTCAATTTTAACTATATTAAATGTAGTTAAAATAAGGTTGGTGATTTTTAATATTTTTGGTATTTATATTTTTAAATCATAGGATCCATGAGACTTCTTTAATTGATATATGTGACGATGCATTAGTTGAATATTGATGTGGATGATTGAGAATGAAATATGTTGAAGTTGTTATATGTTGTATTAAGTTACTAGTTGGTTGTGTAGCATTCAATGATAAGTTAGAATTGTTTGTTAAGTTGAATAATGTTATTTAGTTAGTTTAAGTTGATATAGATTTTTTTTTCATGAGCTTACCCTTCTTTTTGTTGTGATTGAAATTGTAATGATCATACTTGGCACGAAACAGAACATGATTAGCTAGATGACTTAGTAGAACTTCATAGTTAACCATGCTTGACTTGGAGTAATATAGGGATGGGTGACCTTTTGGGAAGTTTCCCAGAAAATGTGTGTAGTAAGGATAAAACACGTTGAAAAGTGAAGTGTCATGAAATAACATCCTTAAGAGGCCAAATATGAGGATTGTTACATTAATAAATTTATTAAAATTAAACACAATTTTTTTGAAGGTTATCTACGGATAAAATCCGTAGATAACAACTATCGTGGGTTACCTATGGAAAATTTCTGTAGATAACGTTACTTATGAAAATTTTTTCATAGGTAACGTTATCTACGACCTTATTACCTACGAATTTTTTCCCGTAGATAATTAACACTTACCTACAGATTTTCATGCTTATCTACTGATTTCTTCCGTAAATAATATTGATTTTTCTTGTAGTGCTTCCACATATCAATAACATACTCATTGAAGGAAACACTATGATGAAGATTACTTTCTAAAGAGTTAAAAATTCATAAGACTACTATTAAGTTGCATCTAATTTCTAAACCCTAAATCCTAAACCATAATATAGTGTTGATACACAAGATTGGATATACATGATATAGTGGAACATAATCTGGGATATAGGAGATATGCTAAAATTATAATTTCATAAAATGAGTGTGTATATCACTTTAGGGTGTGAGTTGTATACTAGGTAGAGAGATTGACTTCCAATCTCTTATCTGTTCATATATGTTGGGAGGGAGAAATCCCAATTCTAATTTATGAATTGTGAATTTGTGCTTTATATTTTTTTTATATGCCTTAAATGTGATGATTGTGTTATATGCATAATAAATTCCATGTAGATTGAAGTATATGTGAACCTTGAGTGTTTGCAGTTCATGTAAGAACCATTAAAGTATAAAGTGAAAAATTGATGATGTTTTGATAAAAGGATGTTTAAGTGGTGTAATTGGTGGTTTAATTATGTAAAATTAGGCTTTATTAATGATTTTTATTGATTGGTTTGGAGTTTTGAGTTTTGAGATTCAACTTGTGCAATTTTTGCATATTTTGTTGGATTTTCACAAACTGGTGTTGCACTAAGTGCACATTTATGGCATCAGACGTGATAATTGTAGTGTTCCCTGTTTTGAGTTCATTACATTCGTGTGAAACATGACTTATTAGTATGTTGAGTTATTCTTACAGATAATTACTACTAATGCTATGTTGATAAGTTATTTTTTTATGTTGTCTTTTTTGTGTGAATATTTGGTTATATCTCATACCGGTAGGTAGAATGAGATGTTTCTCACTCTTTTTTCTTTTGTTTGGCATCCTTGGATGCGTTTTGCATATGAGGATCATCATCATCTTGACAAGGAATTTGTGGATCCAAACTTTGAATATGCCAAGCTTAAAAAAGAATAATAAAAAAAAAACTTGTGTAGAGACGACAAACTTTTGCTAAGCATATTGGCGACATTGTGAGCCACTAAAACATTCTTCAAAATCAAAATTCCCAAAAAATTGCTCTTTTTTTTGGCACTTAATTAAATGATATATGATACTTAGAAAAGAAATAAAAGTGTGAAAATATAATCTAATATGATGTGATTGAATGAGAGATATAAAGAGAACTAATGAATTTTGTATGTATGTTCAAAATACAAAATTCAATTGCAATCATTTAGCTTTCAAAAATAAATTTTGGATACCAATGATATTTAGATTTAATAAAATGATTCATTTCAATTTGTTTAGGTTTGTTTTATTGTTGACCCACCAAAAAAGGGTCGGATTAAGTTAGTCCTCAAGTAAAAATAGATTGAATGTCTTAACCCACTTTGCTTAATGATGAATTGGTGGGTTGACTAGCAAAAAAGTTAAAGAAAAAATGTTTGTATATTTATTTTAGATACTTCTTTTAATATATTTCTTTCTCAATATTTATAAGACCCACATAAATTAGTATACCTAAATAATAAAATATATTTTAAATTATAACAAAATAATAATAATAATAATAATAATTCTTTCAACAAATTTCTTACACAAAAAAAAATCTCAAATTGCATAGAATAAAATAAAGCAAATACATATCATATTTAGCACAAAAAATTACAAATTACTCACATAATAAGTCTTATTAGGTGGGTCGATAAGCTAATGTGTCTTGATCCACCATTTGACTTGGAGGACGAGAGCTAAAATATCCAACCTAATTGCCAATTTTTGGTAGCTAACAAGCTAACTCAGAGACCATGACCTGTTTTGTAATCTCTAATGGTATCTGTTAAACACATGTGAAGTAAGGAGAAAAAAATAATAAAAATAATTATAAATGATAATGTGATAAAAAAGATAAAAAATAATAAGTATTAATTAAGTGTATAAAATTATGTATTAAAATATGAATTTGTCTAGATAATTGATTCGTAAGTACTTTTACAAAAGTAAAATAAAAAAAATTCTTTATAAATTAAAATTGGTTTATGCACAAGTTATTTATTGAAAATCTCCATTATTAACTTCTTAAAGGTCTTATTTTTAATTCATGAATAAGTTGATTTTATCTTATAAATAAATTTATTTTAATTTTTCTCTATTTTTTTAAAAAGTAATTTTTAGAAAATATTTTCCTCTTATTTATTTATCTAAGATTTTATTTTTAATTTATGTATAAATTAGTTTTAACTTATAAAGAAATTTATTTTTATTTTCTATTTTCTCTTTTTAAAAGTGTTTACCGATATCCTTGTACCAACTTAATTAACTATGTGCATGTTTGAAACAATGTAAATGACATTTTTCACCTACCAAAACTAAAAAAAAAAAAAAAAATACAAGAGGAGAATTGTCTTAGATTTAACGTGAGTTTCCGGAAGTTCAACTCCAACCCACACAAAGTACATCTTTTTTATCTTGTCGTTTCTGGTTATATATCCACGAAGCAAATCAAAAGTTAAAAAAGCATTCAATGATTACCCTTCTCGTTGATTCACTTTCCGCGAAGGAACACTGTATCATTGTTAAGGACGCGTACGATCAAAATTTAAAGATATAAAAAAAAAATTTTCTGCCGCGTGAAATACTTCAAACATATAAACTTTTGAAGACTGTACTTTATGAGCGTTGACATGGTTGACTGACTCGACTATGTCTCACACAAGTGATACAACACATCACGTCATGCAACTATAAATATTGCTCAACCTCAATCATACTTATCACAACTTCATTAGCAAAATAAAAATCATAGATTACCTCTTCACATTCCTTTGCATTTGTCACCAAAGAGTTCTTGGTTTTTACTCTCACTAGCAAGCTTTTAACAATGATGAAGGTTAGAACTATACTCTCATGGGATGAAACCAATCTCTTTTATATGCTCTCCTTCTCACGTAATCAATGCATGAATCCTATTTCTTGAGTCTTCTCATCACATGTTCATTGACACAGGTTAAAAACGTTTTTCTACTAAAAATAAAAAATATTTTTCAATTATAAATTTGTTCTCTTTTGTTTCCACTAGGACTTGCAGTTTACTATTTTCTTTCATGTTCTAGACATAGAAGTAATTGTTGGTTCTTAAAACTTTGATATTTGTTTTGTAACAGAAAGTAGTGTTAACTGTGGACTTACACGATGATAGAATCAAGCGAAAAGCTATGAAGACAGCATCTGGCCTTTCAGGTATAAATCATTTTCACTGTGCTGCAACTTTGCTTTTGTTTCAAGTTTGATAAGAAATTAATAATATCCATATATGCATATATAACAGTGTCAAGGATTCAATGGTTTTATAACAAATTTGTATTTGCAGGGGTTGAATCAGTTTCTATTGACATGAAAGACAAGAAGATGACCTTATCTGGGGACGTTGATGCAGTGAGTGCAGTGTGCAAGCTAAGAAAGGTGTGTCGCACTGAAATAGTTTCAGTTGGACCAGCAAAAGAAGAGAAGAAGGGTCCAGCAGAAGTACCTGTTCCTCACAACCCCTATGAAGCTTATCCACTCTATTATTATATGACACCACCACTCACAATGTATAGTTAAAAAGGTTTAATTTGAAGAGAATCCTAGAATAGAGTAGTGGATGTGTATGCTAATTAAATTTTATGTAGAATAGTTTTAAGTTTAATAAAATCATATATCATAGCCATTTTTGTGGGTTTTATTTATATTTTTCTTGGTCTAGTAGATTGAAGACCATTGTATTGTGTCCATGGGAGTAGACACGCGTAGGATTTGACTTTCTTCGTCATTTTGTAAAATGTAGACAAGATGTTGGTGTTTTTCATATATAAGATTCGAGTGGAAATTGGAAATGTTTTTCTTAATATATCTCTTTTGATCATTGGAAATTTAAATTCATCTATAATTTATCAATTATTATATATGCCACAATTTAAAATTTTAAAATTTATTCCACTTCAACAATTATATTATTGAAATTGGATTGGTCTAGAACGATCACTTTCAAAAATTAAAATAGCTAAGAATGGAGAATTATTTAAGTCTTATACGGAGTATTTAACAACCTCTCAGCCTTGGGATTTATTTGAGTGTATGATGCATTAATTTACACATGTTATCAAAGAATGTAGACAATAGACTTCTAAAAGGGAGCTGACAAATCATCAATTTTGCAATTATGTTATTTCCTATTCTGCAATTTTGTTATTTATTTTTGTTGTTCTTGCAACATTCGACCGCCTTTTTCTTCTCACTATATTTGATTCCTTATACAACTGTCTTATTTTATATTGGGGTAGTACAAATTCTGTTAAGTCAACCTAGGTAGCACATTCTGTATATATAGGCCTTCTTTATTTCTTGTAATACTGAGAGGAAAAGTATCAAGATAGTTGATGCCTTCAGTTTGGGTGTATCCCTTTGTCACTAACTTTGCCTTGTATCTCTCAACAGTCCCATTGGATTTGTGTTTTATTTTGAACACCCATTTGCATCCTATGACAGCCTTGCCCTTTGGTAGAGATGTAGTTATTTGAGTCCAAAGCTGATATCTCACACTATATAGACTTTCTCCAACAATCATGCTTGATGGCCTCTAGGTAGGAACTTGGCTCAATATGTGAAGAAAGAGACATGCAAAGGATGAGTAAGTATGTGACAGATTATTGTAAGACATAACTGAATATAGAAGATATTTAACTTTTGAAGATGTATTGGTAAAATTAAAATTACATCGATAATTCTTTAAGTACTCAAGTGGCTTCCTTGGTCTGGTGCTTATGTGCTGAAGGGGATTCTGGTGTGTGTTAGGTTCTTCCTCAACAATTTGTTCTGTTTGTGGGTCACTTTCTAGTGGTAATTCAGAATTGTCTTCATGATCATTGTTATTAGCGCCATTCAGATTTTGATAAGCTACAGGCTTAGGTTGCGATGGTTGATTTGTGATGGGTTGTTCTTCATTGAAGTAGTTTTGATCATTTATATGGGAGCTATTAGTTTAATCACTAGTGACCTATCCTTTGCGATAAGGAAAGATGTATTCATGAAAAAGAATATTCCTAGACAAAAAAATTTCTCTAGTATGAATATTTTATAAAACATTTCCCTTTGTTCCCTCTTTAAAGTTTAAACCCAAGAAAAACACAAGTTTGGCTGTAATATACCTTGTTGAATCGATGTCACAATATAAAAGGGATGGTTGTTCAAAGGCAACCTTAAAATATTATAAAAGGTAAATTAGCCATTGAATTTCAAAAGTGACAATGGCCATTAAGTTGATTCTATGGTTGCTCAAAGGAACCTTAAAAGTATTATAAAAGGTAAATTAGCCATTGAATTTCAAAAGTGGCAATGGCCATTAAGTTGATTTAAGAATCAAAGTCAAATTATGTTCAACTCAAATTTAACTTATTTATTATTGAATTTAACTTTTAATTTAAATTCAGTTCATTTAATTATTATAAATCAGCGAACGAATTATGAACCTAGTTTGGGTTCATTGATCTAACTTTAGGACATGCTTGTTTCTCTTTTACGAAGAGAGAGTTAAATAATGTTTTTTTTTCCAGAGGAGTGAGTGATTATGACAAGTTCAGCAAGGAAAAAACGTAGAAAGACGTGGCTAGAGACTGAAGGAGTGAACGATGGACTTTTGTCGGCCACCAAAAAATTCTGCCAATTAATTTCCCAACTGCATTCATTAATTGTCTTTTCGTTTCTGGATATAACCACGAAGCAAGCCAAAAGTGCTATCATTTTCCCACTCGGGCCCAAAAGTTAAAAAAAAAAAAAAAAAAAAAAAACTTCAATGATCGATATTTAAGGTAGTTAATTAAGGACGAGTGCCAAATTTAAAGATGACACTTCTTCCATATGAATTACTGTCAACAAATAAAGAGTATTTTACTGTAAATAAATTAATTTTAAAAACACTTTTAACTTATAGTTAAACAGATTTTCATTTTTTTTATAATTTTCACTGGGGCTTGTATTTTATTATTTCCTTTCATGTATTAGATGTAGAAGTAATTGTTGGGTCTTGACATTAATTGTGTATCTGAAAGTAGTGTTAAAGGTGGACTTATACAAGATGATAGAATCAAGCGAAAAGCTATGAAGACCGCATCTGGCCTTTCAGGTATTGATCAATGTTTCAGCTTTCAAGTTTCAAGAAATATATAATGTCCATATTATTATGCATATATACAGCGTCAACGTCAAGGGTTCAAATTCAATGTTTTTATAACAATATTTGCAATTATTTTGCAGGGGTAGAATCAGTTTCTGTTGACATGAAAGACAAGAAGATTACCTTATTGGGGAACGTTGATGCACCGAGTTGGAATATAATTGGGTATGGATAATTGACAAATTTGGACTTATCCAAATTGATCTAATGAGTTTAGATATTTTTTTTGTGTTCAGGATAAGACATAATTTAACTTAATCAAAATTTGATATTATATGAATTAAATAATAAATTTTGTATTTTTAATTTGTTATCTGAACTGTTCCGATTAAATAATAATAATAATAATCATAATAATAATGTTTGAATGATTATTTGTTAAGAATAATACTTACCGTTATTTTTATTAATAAATTTTATATTTTAAGTTGATAATATTGTGACAATATAATATATTTATTTTAAATTTTATTTTGTATTAATTAATATTTATTTTTTTGTGTTAATAACAATATAATAAATTAATAAATTTATTTTAAAATTTAATTTATATTATTATTTTTTTATAAATTAATAATATTGTATTTAGAATAATATATTAAATGATTTATATTTATTTTAAAATATTTAAATTTTCATAATAAATAAATAAATTTAACTATACCGATTAAATTAATTCAATTTAATTTAATTCATTCGTGATCAAATTAATTTAAATTAAATTTTAAAAAGAATTACATAAATTTAATCTATTAAATTTTTATTAGATCGAATAACAAATTTCATCTGAATTCATTACGGTCTATCATTGAGTGCAGCATGCAAGCTACGAAAGTTGTGCCCAATTGAAAGTTGGTCATATGTATAATTGCTTAAGTTTTTGCTTTATATATTCAATCTTTTTCGTCTTTCCCGTACCCACATCCGTTGCAATTGACCAAGTCGTATCTTTCTTTTATTGGTTTAATTATTATTTTAAATTAATTCACCATTATGTGATTATACATTACTCAAATTATTGACTCTTTAGTAAACTTTTAGTTAGTTTTTGTTAATCTTCATAGTTGGTTTCTTAACACTTGGTTGATGCATGTAGTTAACTTGTCCACAGTAAACCTGACTTTTCCCTCAATTTTTAGCACTGTAGCTCATACATCTTCTATAAATAGCAGTGCCAAAGAAAATAATACTTTCACTCATTTTTCTTCTTTAAATATTTTTTTATACAACTAAATATATTTGAAACGGTGTTTATTATATTTAAATGGTGTAAGGAGTTGACATATTTTAGGAGAGAAGCTCACCACAAATTCAAAATGTAGAGGATTTTCTCTTTAAGAGGATTGCATTATGTGTTTCAACCTAGATTACTCTAATCTTTTTTTATTTTTTAATTTAATTTACTCTTTGTGTTTAATTGATTATTACTGATTGCTTTGTTTTTAGTTTTGAAGTATTGATTGTGCTTTTGATATTGACTTTCGCGATAACTTTAATTATTTATTTAATTGTGTTCTATTAATTTATTTACCACCAATTTTAGAGAGAAAAATCTTTTCTTATTCTATATTAACATACTTGTAATGAATATTTTAAAGTGTTTGAGCAGTAAGGTAGAAAAATTTAATAGTAAAATTTTTTTGTTAAGAATAACAGGTAAAATTTTGACTTACCGAGTTAGATTATTTTCTACTATTTTAAATGAAAACTTTGAAAAAGTTCTAATGATGTCTTGATTAAAATCAACTCTTCAATAATATTTCTAATGACATAAATATTTTGTTTCATGATCGTATTTTAAGTGTTTTATCTTCAATGATATTTTTAATGACATAAATATTTTGTTTCATGATTGTATTTTAAGAGTTTTATCCGATAATATTTATTATACAAAAATTATTTTAAATTTATGAAATATTTTGAATTGAAATATAATTCTGTTGAAAAAAAATTCAAAAAATTATCCTTATAAAAAAATGGTTTTTGTTTTCAAATAAAAATGAATAAATTTTTTGAAATTAATCTAAATTTATGAATTTAAAAATATTATTTACGATATAAAGTCGATAGAAATTACTTTGAAAGAACATCATAATAGGCTAACACTGTGTTGACAACTTCCATATTTGGAACATAGAAATAGTGGTTGATGCAAGAATCAGGATCCTCTCCTGCGATATACGTACAACGTCTCTCCATCAGGATCTCAACCGTCCATTTTCTTATACATCTAACGGTTATAAATAAAATTTCATTTTTTCTCTTTAATATTTTCACATGAATAAAAATTCGATCGTTTCGTTCCATTTTTTCTCTTTAATGTTCATCCGCGACAACATCGCGCAGTTCGCTCTCGAGCTCAGGATCCGCGTCCACGTCCAAGGCAGTGAAGCTCGTCGACAACGAGAAGACCGCTGTGCTCTTGTCACCGGTGATTTTCCGCCACCTCGGCAACACTGCCGCGTTCCTGGCAGACGTTCGAGGGCTGGGCAGAGGCGGCGACTGCGGCGGTGGCATCGTTCTGGCCAAAAAACTCGTCACCGTAGACCTTGTGCATACTATTTTTCAAGATTGTAACCTATGCTGTGGACAAATATATATGTTCTCAGTCTCACCTAATCAGGATCAAGTTCAACATGCATTCATCACCTGTATTGTCTAATGGTTGAATTGGACAGGCTATGCATGCTTTCATCATCTTATAAACCATGTAAAGGGACCCTCTTTTTATTCTTTGAAGCATGCACAGGGATAGGTAATTATTGGGGGGGGTCATGCTTGTAAATGATCTGCCATGTAATTGAAATTTGGAAAAGAAAAGAAAGAGGACTTTCTTGTATAATCAAGTGTTGTTAATTTATTATTTTTTGTCTACCAAGATTAGAACTTAAGACCTTGTGCATACTATTTAACATCTCACTATTCTGACCTTAATGCTTCTCAACTCAAGTGTTCTTAAATGGCTGTTATAGCACCACATGGTGCTATTGATCACCTGTATTGGCAAATGGTTGAGTTTGGCAGGTTATGCAGGCTTTGATCATCATATAACCATGTATATTCTTGAAGCTTGCACTACGACAGGTAGCTTCTTATTGGGGGCATGCTTGTAAAATGTAAATAATCAAGCATATAATTGAAATTTAAAAAGAAATGAAAGAGGACTTTCTTGTATAATCTGATAGCTTGATATGAATGTGACTAAACGAGGAACTTGGTTAGTTTGTTGTTGCACTCTTTTGTTTTTATTGATCTGAATTGTGTGCTGGAGTCTTGGTCAGTTGATTTGCATTGCTACCTTTCCCCTTGTTATGATTCGTCTCTCTTGTTGTCCTCATGTGTACATCTATCCAAGTGTTACAGATATTATTATCAAATAATCACTATTAGGATCACTTACTGCGCCTGTATTACTGTTGTTTGTGACACGATTTTTCACCAGAAAGAAACAATTACTATAATGAATAATTTTTTACCAAATGTTAAAGATTCTTGGTATCCAAATGAGAGACTATAATCTGTAAACATCCAAACCTAATCATGATAATGATATGATATTCAAAACAGGATCATAACCGTCCATTTTCTTATACATCTAACGATTATAAATATCATCACAGAATGGTTAAAAAGCATTGCAAGTAGCGAGTTGTTGTAGCTTTTAATTTACATCTCTATGGATTGGTCAAAGTTGTGATATCCCCATCAAGTGGTGCCTACAATTTAAAAGACACAAGTTAATATTTTAAATACATATATGAAACCAGTAAAATCTGCAAGTTATTAAAATGTTTGTGATATCCCATCCAAATTATTGAAACTTACCATCAATAAACTAGTAAAACTAGTATCACTAACTTGACTTGAAATATCATTGATTTCCTACACAAAAGACAATATCAATTAATCACTAAATATTTTTTTGGTTTCCTCACAATTAAATTTCTATTAGCTTACCATAGATTGTTGTTGTTTGTATGCATCATTAAGCCACGTGGATGCACTTATATTAGGCATTTCTAAATTGTACTCTATCCTCTCCTTCACAAATTTTGAACCTTGTTTACTCTCATTATTCTGCATACAAAAAAAGAGAGTTTATGTATTTGAGTAAGCTAATGCATGGTAAAATTCATAATTTTATAATACCTTAGTAAGATCTTGATCTTGTGAAGCACTTGAGTCACCCTTTTTCTTTCGTTTACTAAGTTGGCGTTCTACCCAACCTTTCAAACGCTTTGAACCTTTTCTACCTTCTTTTTTCTTGAACCCCTTTACTTGTGTTGAACCATCATTGTTTCTTGCAATCTCTATAACATTACTAAGGAACTCATTAACTTGAGTATTACTTACTTGTTTATTTTGAAACTCTAACATTTCCTTGTCCAATAAATCAGTAACTTTGCTCAACAACGTGTATGTTTCTTGACTCCTACATGCTTCATCAACTATCCTCATAAGACGGGGACAAATGTCTCTACGACGTTGTGTTGAAGTCAATTGAGCATCTTCTACTACATGACGAACACTAACATTAGGTAAAGACACACTTCTTGCTAACTTTGTCCACCTTTTCAGGATATATTGCTCAGGCACTGATTTAACATCCATATGAATAAAGACTCTTAGACAATGACAACAAAGTATGCCAAATGTCTCAAATTTACAACAAGAGCAATGAATTATCTTTTTATCCAAATCAAATGACACTTTCCATTCTCCCAAATCCTTTACCATGGCAATAACACAATCAACTAATGATGCTTTTACATTTATGCTCTTAACAGAACATGCTTCAAACAACTCATACTCATGTTGGAATAACTCAAAAATAGTAGGAGTATAAAGCTCAGACACTTGTTTCAAGATATCAGAATATGGGTTCTTGAGTCTTAGAATTTTTTGACGTGCTTCATATTCACACTTCAATTCATTATACCATTTTTCTTCTACAACATCCTCAAAACGATTAAAAAACTTGATAAGATCGAAATTCACATTGATAAAACTTTTAATATCAGCATTCACACTTTCACTAAGTTGGGTGCTTCGCATTCCCAATGTGAAAGCCTTCTTCAAGTAACAAGATGCCCATTTTTCCTTCACAGAATACACTATTTACAACCAAGTGTTTTCCTTAACATCAAACCTTTCAAGGAGGTTTCTCCAACCTTCCTCAAATTGTTCTTCATCATCATAGCCATACATGCATTTCTTAAAGTCACTAAGAAAATGTGATTCCCCTTCATTAAATTGCCTAAGTGCTTGATCCCATTCTGCATCAAGTGCCATGTACATAAGCCATTCGGAAAGTTTTTGTTGAGATGACAACATATGAGTTGTTTCTTGTATATGTAAAATATGGTTGTGTTCCTCCTCAAAATCATGCACTATCAATTTTCCACACATGTTTTTAAGTCCCAGCCTTGCTTTACAATCTGTTCTAGTCTTCGGTCTTGGATTAATTGTTTTATAATCTTGTCTGTCTGGCTTCGCAAACCTTCTTTGCAACAAACAAACCTACAACATGAAATTGAGCCATCTTTTTTTTTTGTGTATATTGCTTCCTTACTCCAAATCCAACTCTCCCGCCATAATCAACCTAAAACTTCCAAGCATCCTCAAGGCTATCAAAAATCATATCCAATTTCGGCTTCCAATCTTCTTGCATCTTAAATCAATAATTCTGCATTTGCCATAATATAATAAACAAACATAAAATTATTAATCAAGATGCTAACATTTCAAAGTGGATTTGCGAACGTTTCAAGCACGTATTGTTATAAATGAAAAATAGTGTTGGACATATTATGAGACAGAGAGACACATATATGACAATCATTCTAAACAATTAAAGATTTATTAGTTTGCATAAATATCCTATTTATTTTTCTTTCATCAACAATGTAACATTAATAGAAAAATTATTAATTAACGGACTTTATTGTTCTTTTATCAACAATGTAAGATTAAAAATTATCAATGTAAAAAAAATTACATTTCTATCATCAACCATCTTCTCACTCCCAAATAATTATTGAAACTTGAAATAATTTTAAAAATAATCACATACATAAATTTTTACCTTTCAAGATAATTCCCAGCAATTTTTGTTATTTGCCAAGAAATTTGAGTTAGTCCTAGACGTGTGCTCTGTTTTTCTGTTTTGGTACTTTGAGTTGGTCCCAAATGTGTGCTCTGTTTTTCTATTTTATTTACAAAGCTATAGCGAAAGAGGGAGACGGGTGGACATCAGTTTTTTTTGTTTTGTTTGGCGCCAAAAAGGAAGACGTGCCAAAAAGGAAGACATGCCCAACGTGTGATTTGTTTTTCTGTTTTGTTTGGCTCCAAAAAGGAAGACGTGCGGACTTTCCAAAACATAAATGAAATTGCTGCACTCGAAAATGGATTTTTATTTATAACCGTTAGATGTATAAGAAAATGGACGGTTGAGATCCTGATGGAGAGACGCTGTACGTATATCGGAGGAGAGGATCCTGATTCTTGATGCAAAGGTGACACTAATCCCTATTTAGCTTTGATTTTTGTGTTAGCGTCTGCTTTTAAAACACACATTTCTTGTAATGGGAATCCATAAAGTTGATGGCAGATGTTTTTAACAAGAGTGATTATTTGATGAATACTTTTTCATTTTACACATCATATTATTCTCTTCATTTTTTATTTATAATTATTTTAACATTTTTTTATTGTTACTTTTTAAAATCAATGATTTATTAATTTTATTTTTTATTTTTATTTTTGATAATTAATGTGTATTTACTCAATAATGTATTTATTCATTTTTTAATGTACCTATTTATTCTTTAACCATCTAAATGGTATAACAAAAAAGTAAGTAATAAATACTTTGAAAAATTAAAATATCAATCATTTTCTTAATTCTTGTACATAACCTTAAACATCAAGCAAAAAAAATGGAAGAAGTATTTGACTGTATATATATAATAATATTTAACAAATATTGTTCAAAAATATATATTATATATTAATATAATTTATACCTACATTTTTAACAATTATAAGAATATATGTTTACTAACATATACACACATATATTGTAACTATTTTTTTAGTGAAAAATATTATGTTACTATAAGATGTGTGTCATCATAAGATAACTTTTTGTAATATAAGCTAAAATTAACTTATATATAAACTAATTTATATATAAGTGTTAGACTTTTGACAAACATACCAATTATCACAAGTAGTACAATAGATAAGTATCAAATTTAAAGAGACTTGTGTAACAACTAATTGATTTAATTTAATACTAATTAGGGAGAGAAAAAAATATTTTTTTTAAAGAATGTAATAAAGATAAAGAACATACTCGATAATTGTCAAATTTGAGTAATAAATATTGACATATTTCACAATTTTTGATAAGTTATATAACTTCTCTAAAAACTATAAATTAATTTTAACATAAAAATTTAACCAATTTTCTTTTTTATTCAAACAAATGTGTGATTGAGAGACAAACTTAAGCCAGGGTCATTTCAACCACCTTAACCATTTTCAAAATTTGTCAACTCTATCATCTTAATTATATTATGAGAGTTGATATGATACCCTTCTAAGTTAAGATGTTTTAATATATACAATTTTTAAAATCAATAAAAATAACTTAAAATGTATTTTTTTTTTCACTTTCACTTTTTTTCTCTTTACACTTAGTGATGTGTTATTGACTAATAGATAATTTAGTAATTATCTTACTTTTTTTCTCACTAAATACTAACCCAAATATTTTTAAATCATTTTGTAAAAGTTAAAATAATTTTGAAAAAAAAATAATAAAATTTTCTTTCTTGAAGTAAAAGGAAGATTTTGTGAATTTTTTATTTAACTTGTTTCTCAAAATTTATATACAAATATGAAAAATCTTAATTTATCATGACTCATATATATAAAAAAAATATCGTTAATAAATTTAAATATTTCATATAATATATATATATATATATATATATATATATTAAGAATTTTTAAAAAATAATAAATATAATCAAGATTAGTCAAGATCAAGATTAGTTGGCATTTCTTGGCTAATAAAAAAAAGATTATTAGTTGGCATTTCTGTTATAACAAACTTTGTTATTAGCTTTATAAACTCATATCTTGTATCTGTTTTTAGAATATCAATAATAATTTCTTCTTCAATTTTGTTTCTTCACATGGTATTAGTATAGCCTCTCGAACCTTAGGGCTATGGTAGAAGCTTTTACATCACAACCCTTTCTTCCCCAAATGTTTTCTTCTTCCATCTCCACCAAATTGAGTGATGATAACTTCCTTATTTGGTTCAAACATGCCGACATCAATGATTAAGGGCCACAAATTGAAGCAACACATCATCAGTGCAGACACGATCCTCAAGAATTCCTATCGAAGGAAGATGAAACCAAAAATAGGGTTAATCCCCTCTTAAGAACTTCAAACAACAAGATTATCTTCTCAAATCATGGATGTTAGAATCCATATGGAATCCAATTCAATATTCGAGTAGCAGGGTGCACCTAGTGTTTCCAGATTTGGAGTGTACTGAAAACATATATATTTTGCTTCCCAAACGAAGGCAAGGGTCAAACAAATCAAGATTCAGCTTCGCAATGTTTGTAAAGCGGGAACGATGAGTTAGTACCTATTGCAGATAAAGAAATTGTTGAAAACATTGGTAGCGATTGGCTCTCTAATGTCTTCGGAAGAACACATTGATTTTATTTTCGATGGATTGCTGGAGGAGTAGGACCCTCTTGAAACCTCGTGTCTAACGAGGAGCGAACCTTATATGGTTCCTAAGATCAAAGCTTGATCAGACAAATCTTTCCCAAAATTCTGGAATGCCAAAGAGGGGAGGATCAAACTCTACAAGAGGAAGAAGCTTTGGTCGAGGACAAAATCAAGGAAGGGGCCATTTTGCAAAGCCAAGATACAACAATATTGTAGGACGTGGTCCCAAGATTTAGTGCCAATTGTGCGACAAGAATGGATATTCAACTTTTCACTATTGGAGATGATTTGATGATCGAGGATCTTTCTGATCCAGCCACATAACAAAACACAACAATGAATCACAACACTGTAGAGAGTCAACAAGAAGCTATGTTGGCCTCTTCTCTTCATGCTCAAGCAGATGACATGTGGTACCCAGATTTAGGAGCATCCAATCACTTGACAAATGGCATTTCCAACCTGATTACAAAGCAGAAGTACTAAGGTAAGAAACATGTTCTTGTAGGTGATGGTAATAGCCTTTTAATCTCTCATATATATAGGCCATTCTAAAATGCATACTGCCAAACCAAATATTATTTTCTCATTTCCCAACATCATGTATGTTCCTAGCATATTAAAGAATTTGCTTAGTATATCAAAATTCACTAATGATAACAAGGTATTTGTAGAATTTCATCCTAATGAATGCATTGTAAAATCTCAGGAAACAAAGATGGTGCTTCTCAAAGGGCATCTTAAAGATGGATTATATGTCTTTGATGATCTTCAGCCCATTCACACACAAATTGAATTTGTAAAACCATTGGGTGTCGTCACTGCTCTCTATAACACTGTATCCTATAATGATGTGTCAATCTGGAACTTTAGGCTAGTACATTGTTCCTTTAAAGTACTGAAACATGTAATGGAATCTAGTAATATTTCTGTTTCTAAGAATAAAATTCCATTTGTTTGCTCATCTTGTTATATTGGTAAATCTCATAAATTACCTTTTCAATATCCAACAGTACTGTTTACAAAGACCCTCTTGAAATGATCTCTTTTGATATCTGGGCCCTTCACCTACACCAAGTAGAGATGGATTCAAGTATTATATAATATTTGTAGATGCCTTTTAGAGGTTTACATGGCTTTATTTCTTGCATACTAAGTTTGAAGCTCTAAATTGTTTTATTAAGTTTAAGAATATGGTTGAACTCCAGTTAAACAAAAAAAACCTTACAAGCTGACAAAAGCAAAGAGTACATTATTTTTTCTAAATTTCTCAACCAAAATGGTATTCAACATAGATTTAGTTGTGCATACACTCATGAAAAAAATGGCTCGACTGACAAAAAACATAGGCACTTAACTAAAACTGGGCTCACATTATTAATTGATTCTTAGTGACGCTTTTGCTACAACTATTTTTTCCATAAATAGAATACCTTCATCTATGATAAAATGGAAATCCCTTTTTGAAATGTTGTTTCATAAACCTCCTGATTATACTTTTTTTAAGCCATTTGGTTATGTTTGTTTCCCACATTTAAGACCATACAACATGATAGAAATGGATCTAAGATCTCAATTGTGTATTTTTCTAGGGTATAGTACAACTCATAAGGGTTATAAGTGCATAACATCATTCAGAAATATTTATGTCTCGAGACATATGTGATTTTTCATGAAAAAACCTTGAAAGAAAATAATTTTTTCAAAGAGAAGCATGCTACTCATAACCTTGTGAATACCTCTTACCCAACTATACCTATTGTGCATAGTGTTCAACATCCTGTTAATGACATAATTGTTATGGATGAAAATCAAACCACCATCCCTGAAAATACTAACAACTATCAAGTAGCAAGTGGTCCTACTTCTCATCATAACATATCTAATAGTACAGGTTAACATACAACTGAAAACACACATAATATGATAACTAGGTCCAAGTATGGCATATTCAAACCTAGAGTCTTCATTGTTGAAACTGAACCTAGTACTATTGCTTTAGCTATACAAGATCCAAAATTGTTTAATGCTATGAAAGAAGAGTACCTTACTCTAACTAGAAATCAAACATGGGATTTAGTCCCTCTACCACCACATTAGAAAACAATAGGATCAAAGTGGATAATCAAACTAAAATACAAACCTGATGGAACAATACCAAACATAATGCTAGACTTGTGGCTAGGGGTTTTAGTCAACAAGAAGGCCTAGATTATACATAAACTTTTAGTCCGGTTATCAAACCTATAACTATAAGAATAATTTTATCTATTTCTCTTACAAAAGGATGGCCAATAAGACAAATTGATGTCAATAATGCTTTCCTAAATGATTCATTAAATGAGGATATATATATATATATATGTGTGTGTGTGTGTGTGTGTGTGAGCGAGTGTGTGTGTGTGTGAAACAACATGAGGGGTTCAATAATCAACATCCTACTCTTGTCTGTAGGCTTAAAAAGGCCATATATGGTCTTAAACAGGCCCCTAGAGCTTGGTTTGCTAAGCTAGCTTCTACTTTGATCACTTTTGGTTTTAAACCAGCAAAGTGTGATAATTCTCTCTTTATTCTTGTTATTGTTCATACAGTATATATATATATATATATATATATATATATATATATATATTAGTCTATGTGGATTACATTTTGATTATAGGGAGCTCTCAAACATTAATACAGAATCTCATTAACAAATTGAATACTCTGTTCCCATTAAAAGATTTGGAAAAGTTGCATTATTTTCTAGGACTATAAGTTCACTATGACACACAGGGAAGTATGCTTCTAACTCGATCAACATATATAAATAACTTGTTGACTAGACTTAATATGCAGGATTCAAAACTAATAAAGACACCTCCACCTCCTAGTTGTAGAATGCCAACATATTCAACAGAAAACTTTGACAATCCCAGTCTACACAAAAGTGTTCTTGGAGCTCTTTAATATGCCATTGTGACATGACCCAACATAGCCTACTTTGTAAACAAATTGTGTCAATTCATGCACAAACCCTTGGAATTTCATTGGAGATGTGTAAAAAGAATGCTATGATACTTGAGTAGCATAAAAGACCAAGGATTACACTTCCAAAAATCACCTAGTTTGACAAATAATTGGGTTCGCAGATTTTGATTGGGTAGCAGACAAGACAAACATGAAATCTACACACAAATATCCTATATGGCTAAGAAGCAACACACAGTTTCAAGATCAAGTACAAAAGAAAAATTTAGGAGCTTTGTTGCCATAGTAGTTGAAATTATGTGGATTCAGTCTTTATTAACAGAATTGCATGCAAAACACACCAAACCACCATTAATATGGTGTGACAACTTGGGTGCTATCCTCCTTACTACAAATCTAGTGCTTCATTCCAAGTCAAAACATTTTGAACTTGACTTGTGGTTTTGTAAGAGAAAGAGTAGATCAAGGTCTCATTGAAGTAAAAAATATACCTTCTCAATTTCAAGTGGCTAACCTTCTAACAAAGTCTCCTTCAACAATCATCTTTCAAAGCTTAAAATCCAAACTAAATGTTGTTTCCACAAACAAATTTATTTTAAGGGGGCTATAAAATTAGTCAAGATCAAGATTAGTTGGGATTTTTATTATAAAAAACTTTGTTATTAGCTTTATAAACTCATATCCTTTATCCTCTTTTAGAATATCAATAATAATGTCTTCCTTAGTTTTGTTTCTTCGCACACACATTTTAAAAAAAATAAAAATAATTTCAAAACCCTTTAAATTTTGGAGGATACCTTAGAATTTCTCCTTTAATTTATCTTCGGGAAGTAACCACGTAGCACCATGTACTATCAGTTTCCCAACCGGACCCCAAGATAAGAAAAGCCTTCAGTGTTTACACTTCTTAGGTTCACTTTCTGTGTAGGGTACGTAATGAGGCAAAATTTAAAGAGCACACGGTTTCTGCCACGTGAATTACTGTAAACAAACAAATTGTAATAAAAGTTTTGAAGAGCCTCTATGATTTGACTTTGGTTGACTTGACTTGACTCACTTTACCGTGTCTCATGGTGCCACTATAAATATAGCTGAATCTCAGCCATACTCATCACAACTTCATCAGCAAAATAAAATTATAAACAATTAATATCCAAATATTCCAACTCAGGTTACCATATCTCCTCCTCCCTCAGCCAAACAATTTTTGCTCTAGAGCAAGCTTTAACAACAATGAAGGTCAGACTCAGAACTAGACCCTTATGGAATGAAACAATTTTTTTTTTCTTCCCCTAATCAAAGTTTCTTGAGTTTTCTCAACTTTACACTGTTTGTTTCCACTAGGCCTAGTGTGTGTATTATTTAACTATTTCCTTTCATATTTAGAAGTAATTGTCGGATCTTAACAGTTCTTTGATATTGTGTAACAGAAAGTAGTGTTAAGGATGGAGTTGCATGATGATAGGATGAAGAAAAAAGCTATGAAGACAGCATCTGGCCTTTTAGGTATCAAAACTTTGCCCATGTATACTACAACTTTGCTTTTATTTCAAGAAAATATGTATCATATGCAGCGTCAAGGATTCAATGATTTTATAACAAAATTGTGTCTGTGATTATTTTGCAGGGGTTGAATCAGTTAGTGTTGACATGAAAGACAAGAAAATGACCCTATCGGGGGACGTTGACCCAGTGAGTGCAGTGTGCAAGCTACGAAAGTTGTGTCAGACAGAACTGGTTTCAGTTGAAACAGCAAAGGCAGAGAAAAAGAAGGTCGAAGCAACAGTGCCTGTTCCTCTAAAGCTCTATGAAGCCAATCCCCTTTATTATTATCGAATGGCACCACCACCTTATAGTCAAAATTACTATATTAGTAGTGTTGATGAGAATCCTAGTGGTTGTGTGATCTGCTAAATTTTCGGTATTACAAAGTTTGATAAAATGACATCATAATCATTTTGATTGGTTTTATTTACATTTGTGTTTATCTAGAATGTTGAAGCTACAGTGTTTCCAAATTTGTAGTACTGTAATGACCAGTGGTGTATGATTAGATATGATTTTGCCATTTTACAAAATGTAGACAAAATTTTGATGTCTTATTAATAAAAAAATAATTACCAAGGGGGAATTTAGTTTCAATACTTTAATCAGTCATTTATTAGTACCTGGTTGTTTCGAGTCGAACTTTGGAATTTTTCAAATAAAATTTGAATTTAAATTTTACGGTTAAAAAATTGTGATTAAAAAAAAAAGACGCGACTAATATTAATTTCTCAACAAAGTTGAAAAATAATTAAAAAATATAATATGATTATGAAAATATCTTGTTTTTGTCTATCAATATTTAATTAAAATCATTTAATTTATGAATTTAATGAATTTATTATTATATCTATCTTTATAGCAATGTAAATGTTATTTCATCAACTCCAATGATTGATAATAGGGATAGGATTAAGTGACTTCGAATGTCAATTTTTCACATTTATTTCATTTAATAAGTGATTATAAAAAAAATAGAGATATTAAAGTGAGTTACTTGGACTCTTAAGTTGACTTATCCTTATTGATATATTTTAAATGGGTTAATATAAATCTTTTTCACTTTTTTGGTAAGTAAGACAAATTTCCACTCAACTTCATTGGATATTGGTAGATTGCCTCATCAGATATTTTAAAATAAAATAAAATTGATTACATGTTTTTGTTGCTAATAAATAAAATAAAAAGTTATAATTTTTCTATTAAGAAATTAAGTCAATCATTAATTCAAATGTAAATATAAAAAAAAATATTAATAAAAAATTCAAATAAAAATTATATAAAATATAAGTACATTTTTTTTTATTTTAGTGAGTTAAACATATCAATTCAATTTACTTCTGTTTGAATCTATTTAACTCATGAATTAAGTAAGTTGAGTTAACTTATAAAAATTAGATTAATTTATTAAATTGGAGTTCATTTTGGCACTTCTTTTAAAAAAATAAAACTTATAATTTTTAGTTTTAATTAATATTGTTCTTCGATTAAAATCAGAATTATAGTAAATATATACTAATAATATTTGTATTGAATCAAAGTAAAACTCTAATTCCAATTATCACCGACTACACCTAATTAAAAACTAGACTTAAATTTTATCTTTATAAAAAACTGTTAGTGGTGTAAGATCAAATGTTTGATACGTAGTATCAATTGGTCTTGTTTGTCAATTATACTATTAGAAATGGATTGACCTTTGAGCGGAACAGGGAGTCTTAAAAGAGAAATTAAATTATTGCAACTAAAGATGAAAATAAGTAGATCTAAGTAGAGTGTATAATTAGATCTAAGTAGAGTGTTTGTTCTTATACCCACCCATATTTAAAAAAAAATAATAAATAATAAATAAAAAAAAACTAATCACTCATATATATTATATAGTATAAAATTTATTACATTAATAATTAATTATATCTTTTAAATTATTTTATTTTATTTTTATTTGATTAAATAAGCAAATAATATGATACTAAAAATATGATTGGTTGTTAGTATAAATTTTTTTTACATAGTGTATATATAATTATCTTTAAAAAAAATATAATATTTTGAATCTATATTATAACACACTCAATTTTATTATTAGTATTATTATCTTATTTTTATAATAATCTAAATTCTTAGATACTGTATTTTAAAAAAAATAGAAATATAATGTTTTATTTTTAATGCTATAATTATATATATATATATTCAATTACATTTTTTAATTTAAATCTTTTTTAGAATAACACTTTAATTGTATTAATGAAGTATAATTCCTTATATGTATATAAAAATAAAGAATTTTAAAAAAAATTAAAAACCTGTAGTAAGATAAATGTTGTAGGTGTACGTAGATATTAACATCATCTCTAGGTAATTACTTTATAAAAATGGGCCTATAAATAGAGGAGGGGGACTATCAAGGTAGAAAAAAATAAGGAAGAGAGAGTAAACATAAGAAAGAAAGAAAAGAATGAAGAGGGAGAAGGAAGAGAGAGAAAAAGTAAAAAAAGAGTAAAAATTTTAACAGTCAATCTTTAATTCTACAATATAAGAGGATGGAGACCTTTATTCTTTTAAATTTTATATATTATTATGCATATTTATTTTATATTATATCTATGTGTATTTATTTAATAGAGTGTTTTTAACCTCATTTAGTTATTTAATCTATGACACTTTTTACTCTTAATAATTAATGAGGTGTTCCTAATTTATATTGTTTAATTATTTTATGGTATTTATCACCATCATTTACTAGATTAATATTCTTTAATACATTCCATTTTTGTAAATTATATTATATTAAATTTTAAATAAGAATGAAAGTTTGAATTAATTTGTAGTTGGATGTTTGACCTTAGAAAAAAAACTTAAGGTGAAATAACAATTTGTTATTTGTTATTATAATGCTTATTTATCCTGACTAGTCACTATAAGTATAATTCAAATTTCTATTATATCAAGAAGGATTAATATATTCACTTAATTTTGGTTAAAAATATATATTTCTATGCATTTTGTTTAATTATTAATATTTATTGGATAATTATTCTCACTCCTTATTTTTCTTTGTTTAAAAATTGAATTAATTATAATGTAAAATAGATAGATTTTCCAATCATACCAAGCCTTTTCACTTCCATTATCACGGCCATTTTTCTAGATACGAGTTGGGGTATGGATGTAGTTGCAAATGTCCTTACCTTTCAAGAAATAGGAGTAACTTCCTTTGTATTTTCATCAATCCAACAAACCTCTATTATTATTATTATAGATGGTCAAATAGTGGTTACTTTTTATCTACCTCAATTAATCACACTAACCCAATAAAAAACCTATATCAACCTAATATGTAAATATTGTAGAAGAAGTAGAGAGAATATATAATATGTAATTAGGTATGTTATTGTAAATATTTTAGAATAGTATGTGATATAAATATGAGGTAGTATTGTTGGGAAAAGAAGCCTTCAGCACAACAGAAGCACACACACAAAAATAGAGAAACAAAAACAAACTCAGAAATTAACGTGGTTCGGCACTTCTTGCCTACATCCACAAACACACTCAACAAATTATTTTATTTCTCTCTACTTACAATTTTTACAAGGACAAAATTGCAAACCCTCTCATTCACAAATTTTCTGGAAAAACTTGGAAATCTTCATACACAAGTTTTCTAGCAAAACTTGGAAACCCTCTCATGACACACAACTACCCAAGTTCCCAATACACCCATTGGAACCAATGTTGTTGTGGTGAGTAGACCCATACTATCACCCCTTATTTATAGTAGTAGTCTACCACTTCTCTTCTTCACAACTACCCGATGTGGGACTTTGGAGGATACCCACATACATTGGGCACAACAAATCCTCCCTTCATCCAAAGTCTCACATTAATCCATCATCATTCACAAGTTTTCTGGCGAAGCTTGGAAACCCCTTTTCACAAGTTTTTCTGAAGAAACCTGGAAACCCTCTCTTCACAAGTTTTTCTGGCGAAACTTGAAAATCCTTTCTTCACAAGTTTTTCTGGCGAAACTTGGAAACCCCTTCTCACAAGTTTTTCTGGCGAAACTTGGAATGTGGTGAGTAGACTCATACTATCACCCCTTATGAAAATCCTTTCTTCACAAGTTTTTCTGGCGAAACTTGGAAACCCCTTCCCACAAGTTTTTCTGGCCAAACTTGGAAACCCCTTCTCACAAGTTTTTCTGGCCAAACTTGGAAACCCCTTCTCACAAGTTTTTCTGGCGAAACTTGAAAACCCCTTCACACAAGTTTTTCTGGTGAAACTTGAAAACCCTCCTTCACAAGTTTTTCTGGTGAAACTTGAAAACTATCTCATGACACACAACTATACCCAAGTCCCCAATACACCCATTGGAACCAATGTTGTTGTGGTGAGTAGACTCATACTATCACCCCTTATTTATAGTAGTAGTCTACCACTTCTCTTCTTCACAATTACCCGATGTGAGACTTTGGAGGATACCCACATACATTGGGCACAACAAGTATATGTATGTTCAATATATCTTCTTTGACCTTATGTAAAGCATTATTAATTCTATAATTACGTTAATAAATTATAAATATATATATATATATATAATATTATATATAATGACTATATAATTAGGCTTTAAAAAAAATTGTATTTGTCTCCTCATTTGCATTAATAGCAACTTTAATATACATGTTTGTATTTATCTAGTACTTAAGAGTGAAAACATACTAAGTCAGAATAGACGTTGAATATATATATATAAAAGGTCAATTTTATAAAATTAAAATTAATTTATTAATTATTGTAAATTTTGTTATAGGTCTAATATAACTTTTAAATTTTAGCGTGATTTTTAATCTATTTGAAAGTCTATTTTGTAATTAGTTTATTTAAAAGTTTATTTTGCATTAACAATGTTAAATAGGTCAATAATTTTAATTTTAATCAATTATATTTAAATATTTGTACAAGTTTTTGTTTAATTTACATGATAAGTCTTTTTTTTAATTTGCATGATAAAAAATAGTTTACTGTATTATTATTAAAATTTAGTTTAAAATAAAAAATAAAAAATTGATTAAGGGACAACTCATAAATACTCATGTATATTAACATACACTCACACACACATGTTGTAATAAATAAAAAAAAGATAATCTTATTAAAAACTTTTAAATATTTCTTATATCACATTTAAAGTATTCTAAATAATCAATTATGAAGATGAAGAAAAAAAAATGCAAAGACGTAGTTACTAGAGTTTTTATTTTCAATATCTTGATTTCTTACGAAAAAGGAATGTAAAATGTTTAAGTATAGTAAAAATGTAAAAAAATATTGATAAGTTAACTTTTTGTATATTACAATTTTATGTATTTAATATGTTGTTAATAATGCTATATATATATATATATTATTTTATTATTATATCATAGATAAATAGATTGATCTATAAGGCTTAATAGACTTTTTTTTTTACAAATTTAAATCCAACATTTTTATTAAATAAGTCAGGTTAGGTTAGACTTTAGTCAAGACAAACCATAAATTACTGGTTAACAGGCATGACAATCTAACCTGTCCCCGTGAGTACCCGCTTGAACCTACCTTGATTTGGATGGGGAAAACTCATGCTTATTGGGTTCAGGTTCAGGTTTAGGTTTTTCTCGATTGATAAAATCAAGGACGGGGGCGGGGACAAGGATGTTAATACCCATCTCGCCCCCACACTGCTTAATAATATAATTAAAAAATTATTTATATATATATAAACCAAAACTACAAATATTTATATGTAAAAATTTGTATTATTTTACATTTTTTATTTTTAAAATTTGTTCGTATTTATTTAAAATAAAAAAAAGGTAGAACCAGGGGCAGGGGCGGGGCAGGGAAACCCGAAACCTGCCGGGGACAGAGATGGATACCTAGATTTTACCTCCAACAAGTATTGCCATGCCTACTGGTTAATGTCTAACGTATTCTCATCCTTATACCTGTATATCCAATCATTCGTATACTTTTATATGATAGAGTCACTTATGCATAAATCAATACAAAATATTAATTAAAATATTACAACAACTAAATTAAAAATTTACATTTAAATTATCCAAATAAAATCTTAAATCATTTAAACATAAGGAATAATTCATAATCAAATAACATTATCAACATAATATATATTCTAAATATAATTTTTAATCATTTAACATGATGATTAACTAAATCTTTATATATTATCGATCAAATTCTTTCACTAATTAGCTTATATATAAGATCGAAAGATCATAAGTAGTATAACTAGATTAATATATATATATATATATATATATATATATATATATGACTTAAAAAAATCTAAAAAATGGACTATATAAAAGTAACTCTAATTAAATATAGAATAATACAATTTAGAATTTTAAGTTAAAATTTAATGTAAAGGATTTTATTTATATAATCATATAAATAGAAGTACAACTACCAAGCGGGTAGATACCATATAGTTTCTTGTTGTATTCAATAAAATTTACATATAAATTTTCCTCTCACTCCATCCCTCTAAGAATTTTTTTTTATAATTTTTCCAAATTTGAATGTTAGTGAAGAGGATGACAATTACAATCCAACAATTATAATGGCGATGATTGTAGACACAAGAAAATTAATAAAAGAAAAAGATTTCCTCATTAGATCCAATACTTAGTTCTACCCTTACAATAACTATTTTTTGGTTTGAAAATAACTATTAAACTAATGAATAGAATAAGATGAATAAATAGGATAACCTTATCTAATTAATTAACTGATTAAACAATTTATAAATTAAATTAATACATGAAAATTTGTCATATACATATTCCTTTATCCCATGAATTTTCAATTTCAACAAACAAAACAAGAGTGAGCAAGAACATTTTGCTTAGATGAAGACAGAAGAGTGAGTCCCGAAGTCCGAAAGTAGTCGAGGTTCAACCAAGGAAATAAATTTGAAAATTAACCTCTTTTACATATAAAGAAGTGGTTCTGTAAATTTCTTCATTAAAAATAATAATAATAAATTTCTAAAAACACTTATAAATAAGTGTTAACTGAGGGACCAACTTATATAATAAGTTTATTGACATCATTGCAGCAGCGAAACAATCTCCAAAAGGGAGATTAATATATTGAGGCACACTCAACTTAACAACTTAATTTGCTTTCATTCCACTTTCCCTCTTCTTCCCATCCATATTTTGAGTATACCTCGTGTCTTTTCCTCTCCAACAAAATTTTGCAACTGATGCATCATAATAATTCAATATTTGTCTTTTGAAGATGTAACCACGAAGCATCATGTAATGTTCAATCAGTTACCCAACCAGAACCCTACATGATGCACTCAAGCTTTAAACAAAGTAAAAAAAGAAAGAAGAAAAAGAAAAAGCCAAAAATGACCGCGAGTGAACGCAAAAGGCAAACCAGATTAGACAGAAAGAACTCCGAGTAAACAAAGCAAACGCCCTTTTGACCGATCTAAAGCCCGGTGGATGAGAAGAGAGTCCATTATAGCATAAAGGTTTTTCTGCTTTATTAGAAAGATCAGTTACATGCTCTTTATAATAAGATTTAATGAATTCATTGCATGCAATGCATTATTCACTTTGTGTGAAGGAACTGTAGGGTAGTTAGAGGATGAAAAATTTAAAGATGACACGGTTTTGAAGACCATATATGCTATATGAGTTGACTTATTAACTTGACTTTGTCTTACGACATGCTACTATAAATATGGCTCAATCTCAGTCATACTTATCACAACTTCATTAGCAAAATAAGATTACAAGTCTCCTAATATTCTAACTCAAGTTAATTACCTTTTCCTTCCTTTGGCAGTTGATTAAACAAGTGTTGCTTACTTATCAAAAGTCCTAACAAAAATGAAGGTCAGAACTTGACTTTCATGGATGAAACAAATATAATTTATTTCCTCTCGTTCTTCCCCTAATCAATGTTTCTCAAGTTTTCTCGGTGTTTTATACACTGTTTTGTTTCCATGCACTAGGGCTTGCATGTATTTAACTATTGGTGGAGTAGTTATCTTAACAGCTCTTTGATTTGTTGTGTAACAGAAAGTAGTGTTAAAGGTGGAGTTGCATGACGATAGAACCAAGAAAAAAGCTATGAAGACAGCATCTGGCCTTTTAGGTATCAAAATTTTCACCATATACTACAACTTAGCTTTAATTTCAAGAGACAAAAAATAATATATCATATGCAGAGTCAAGGATTCGAATCTATAATTATTGAACCAAACCTCTGGAGTCTGGCCTTTTAGATATCAACTTGATTTTTGAACAAAATTGTATATGTAACTATTTTGCAGGGGTTGAGTCAGTTTCTGTTGACATGAAAGACAAGAAAATGACCTTATCAGGGGACGTTGATCCAGTGAGTGCAGTGTGCAAGTTACGAAAGTTGTGTCACACTGAAATAGTTTCAGTTGAACAACCAAAAGATAAGGAAAAGGAGAAGAACGAGCCAGTAATACTACCTGTTCCTCTCAAACACTATGAAACCTATCCTCTTTATTATCAGATGGCACCACCACAGTATGGTCAAAGTTACTATGTCACAAGTTATGAAGAGAACCCTAGTGGCTGTGTCATCTGCTAATTTGAGAGGATTATAATGTTTGATAAAACGACATCAACGTCATTTTGGTTTTTTTTATTATTTATATTTGTTTTTATATAGTAGATTGAAGACTAAAGTGTGTCCAAGGGAATAGATATGCACTACTATATATATACTTAGTGGTGTGTCATGTATGATTAGATTTTGTCATTTTGTAAAATGTAGACAATTTTAATGCGTTGTTCGTAAGTAATAACTGCCAAAATATTGAGTGGAGAATGTTCTCTTAATACTTCTTTCTATCATTCAAAATTAAAAATAATATAATTTATCAATTTATTATTCAATTTCAATAGTTGATTATGCTATTATTCTTTAAAAAAAAAAAGATTGTATTATCATTAGAGAAAGATGCCACGTTGTCACTCCCAATATAAAGAGATTTGTCGGTGTTATAAGAAGTATTTAACACACCCTCAAGCTCAAGTTTGGGCATATCACATATATATGATGGGTGCATTTTGTGACTACATATTAGTGGGTTTTCCAACTCTCGTAAGATATTGAATATATTAAAGGTAAAAGGATGAATATATATATATATATATATATATATATATATATATTATAAAAACATTGCTGGGACTTTTTAGCAGAGTAAAAAACACTTTTTTTTTAAAATTATAAATATCTAATCATTATCCATCTTTTGTAATTGGATAAAAATTCCATAAAATGTGCAACCAATGCAAAAGGTGAATTACTAAGTATAGAAATGGTTTATTGCACTTGGTGGTAAACTGAACAATGTCTCAGCTACTTTGTGTTGGGTGTTCTTCACGAGTCATGTTGGTTCTTTCCTTTTGTCGTATTATTAGTGAGCTAGCTAGCGTAACTCCTTGCCTCATATTCACACAATTAATTGCTCTATGTGATACACAATTTGTTTGTAGTGTATAAAATGAAAAAGGTGAGAATTGTGTGAGCTTAATCAAAAGGAAAAATGAAGGGGCAAAAATAAAAGACAATAAATTAGAAGAACCAAAACAAAGGTATTAAACTGTAGTAGATAAGATGGAATGTCACGAGCATATGTTATCTGATTGTGTAATAGTGCCACATTAAACTTTCCATTGATTTCTCTAAGTAATCACCACAAAATTTCGAGTTGCTAGTTCTTGCAAATAGTCATCGTGGGAGATTTGTAACACCTCTCAAAATTGCATTTTAGCAACCAATAATGATACTTTATATAATACTTCACTTGATTTCTTGTTGATTAAAATATTTTATTGGTCAAATTCTTTTAATGGATAACTCTTTAAAATATTTGATCATTTTTAGGATTAGTTACTGTTCTCAGAAATCAATACAAATTTTTATTATTCTTTTTTATTCTTATTTTATAAAAAAAAACTTTTAAAATGTCACTCATTCTTAAATTACTCTATCTCAAATTAATTAAAAATAAATACATTGATAGTATTGATAATAATAATTAGTTCTTTTCAAGTCAAACTCAAATAGTTTTTAGATTTCTCTAATTCTAACCATGTTTTAGAAAAGAAAAAAAAAACAACCTAATTCAATATTGTTTTAAAACAACATTATCTTAGTATGTTTTTAAATATATTATTTTAATAATCTCCCGCATGATGATGCCTTATTTATTTGTTTTCACATTGCAAATAAATGATTTTTGTCATTCTTTTAAATGAAATAAATAATGTTATGTTGTATATTTTTCTATCATATACATCAAAGTGCATGGCTTAATAAGTTAAAAGAGTCAAATAACCATGCCCCTTTCCCACACACACATATATATATATATATATATATATATATAATATGTAAACGATATAAATATATTATATAATATTTTGGTTAAAATATTTTTTTAGTCTTTATATTTACTTTTTTTAATTTTTTTACTTTTTATAGTTTAAGATAAATCTTTTAAATTTTTATATTGTAACGTTGTCTGTGTTAACAATATTAATTTAATTTTGTATAATTTATATTAAATTTATTTTGTTGAAATTATTTTAAATTAAATTTTTTTAATGTTTCATATTTCTTTTATATTGTCATCTGTGATGTTTATTATTGAAATATAATTTTTTTTTATTTTTATAAAATTGAAGACATTTATCATGTTAACAAAAAAAATGTTTCAAAAAATAATAAAAATTAAAAAGATCTATTTTAAATTATAAGAATTAAAAATGATTAAAATAGATAATTATAAAACCTAAAAAATTATTTTAAACTATAAAATTTTTTATAAAAAAAACTATAAAAACTTTAAAAAGTATTTTATCCTACATTTATTTCATTTGAAAGGGTGACAAAATCATTTTTTTGTCACACCTCTTTAAATTATGCCATCCATATCATACCATTCTTCTATCTTCTCTTTGATTTTAGAACAAAACATGCTTAAAAAAATAGTATTTGTATGGTTGGGAAATGACCATGTCAATCATACAATCATACCATACCATATTGATAAAAAGCCATAACTATATATCAATCATACCACATCAATTTTATATCATCTTCTCTTTCTATAATTTTTTTTAATAAAAAGGTTTAAAAGATCATTTTGGAATATCTTATCCCGTATTCTCCTTTTAATTTTTTGTATTAACATTTTTCAGATTTGTCTTACCTTATAATTATATTATTATCTTTTGAATGGAAATAATGCATGCGCAGCATCACAATTTTTTGGGTATACACAGAATTTTATTTTATTCCTTAATATCGGTATTAGAACTTTATTTATAAACTTTAATCCAAATAGGAGAATACTTAAATGTAATTAAAAAATTATGGTGTACATTCTTGGGTGAGTAGAGTTTAATTTTGAAGCGTAAATATATACTCAAATAGGGCTCTGTTGAAAGTAGAAAGTCTTTCTTAAAAAATTGCATGATCCTACTTTCAAACGCATGAAATTTTTTAACTTTAATGTTATAAAAGGAGGGAAAATTGTTGATCTTTCTGATCATTTTTCAGGAATCAATTTTTTTCTTGGACGCATCTTTTTAAAGAGTTCTCAATCACTCATTATTAGTATGGTCTAAAGTTTAAACTTTGTCGAAATTTGAAAAACATATTTCTTCTGGACATGGGCCCAACTCTTTTTAATTAAACATTAAATAATTAACATCACATTATAATATTATATAATTACTTTTTTAACTAATTATTATAACATACAAATAGGTTGAGATTATGGTCAAGTATTTTGCATTTATACACTGTGAGAGTAATTTGTTTAGTAAAAAATATCGTATTCGATCATCATCCTATGATAACTTTTCAAATCAGCAACAATTACAATATTGTGAGAAACATTAATTTATGGTCTAATGAGTTAAAAAAAAAAAAAAAGCCTTTAGTGTACAATTTTTTCTCACACTGCTAGAGTCCGTTATGCTGATGGAATTATGGTAAGATTTCTGAAGAATTGGTACGTAGTACGAGTATGTCATTTGTGAATGCCAATTCATTTATACAATTATTCTGAGAAGGACTATTAGGTTGAATATAAATTAAATTTCCACTGCCAAGTATCTTTAGGCAACATGAGTATAAATGCAAAACGATGCTGCGGAAGTAATAGTGGGCATGGATAATAATAGCTAAGGGTAAACAATTAATACGAATAAACCTAAAATTGCAATGGAAAAAAATATCATGCAATAATAAAAGCTGGTAAAGAAGTGGCTAAAGAACATAAATATGACATTAATAACAATAGTTAAATGCATTGATATAGTGGAGGAGAAAAATTGGTACACTGGGTGGAGAATAAGATTCCTGTTGATTGAGATAATCACCAATTAATTAACCAAGATAATGATGGTTGGAGTACCAAGTATTTTTCTTAATTTACGATTGACTCAAATATCATCATTATTAATGATAAAATTCTTCATTATTTAACACGCTACTTAATCGAAACTCGAATTTGAGATCGGTGATTAAAGTGAAATTATCTCGAATTAGTTAATTTATGGGTTTGTATTTATGGGTGATTGGAGTACTAAGTAGGAACAAATGAAGAAAAAAAAAATTAAAAGAAAAAAAGAGTGATGATTAGAGAATGTTGGATTTGATGGGTTGAAATGATAATGACGAACATGTCACCCAAAAGTGGGAGAAGAAGCCTACCTGACTAACTCTGTCACTGAAAAAGGGAGGACTTCGAAGTTCGATGAGGCACAAAAGTCAAAACCTTTTAAAGATGAAATATTATTAACCTTTAGCATCTTTAAGAGTAATAAAGTTGGAAAAAAAGTTTTACATCTATTGACATGCATTATTTGTGGGATTTTAAATGTTGATCAATGTACAGATTTGGTTTTTGTTAATGTATTTTAATTTTTTTTATAATTTAAAAATTTACTACTATAATAATATTATATCATCACATACATTTCTCAACCGATAAAAAAATATTTCAATTTAATTATAGATTTACATTAAATTTTAAATATATAAATACTTTAAAAAGTATTGTCATATCTTATTTAATTTAAGTAAGATTATCTTTTGTAAAAGATGCTTATGATCTTAAAAAACTTGATAATATGTACATAGAAATTAGCATATATATGATTATTCTAATTTAATTACTAATATTTATATTTCTTCTAAATTTATATATAAGTAAAAAAAAACTAATATCACACATTAAAAAAGATTTTTAAATATATTTAATTTTCACAATTTCATATAAAATATATACACTATATTTTATTCAAATTTCTTCAATTATATTTATTATAAATAGTGCTTTTACTCTTTATTTTGTGATATTTATCTAAGATAATATTTTATAAGAGTTATTTTTTATAAATCATTACATAATGATGAGATATTATATCACTTTGAACCTAAGGGTTTACGATTTTATTGAATTATAAGGGTTGTTACCAAATCCATTGATATAAGAGATGAGAGTATTTTATGAGGTCTAAGCAGTTCTCACGATTTTATTTTTGATCATTATTTAAAATGCTTCTCAATCATTGAAATATGAGTGTTTTATAAATTGTTATTTTTTCTCTTATTTTATCGATACGAGACTTGTTTATATTTCAACAAAATATATATATATA